ATTAATAAAATTTAGGCATATAAACTTATTATTATCTAAATTTATCCATATGTTACAATTAGGTTGACCTGAATTGGTCCTCTGATGATATAATAATAACATGCAATTAAATTTCAGGAAGGAGCACAGTCCTGCAGTTTGTTAATTACATTGTTGTCAAAGAGAGTGTTAAAGCCTCTCGCTTGTCTGAAGCCTTCTAACTTATAATTTGCCTTAACCTGTGGAGAGAATTCTATAGTATGAGGCATGCATTGCATGACGCTTGCATGCTTATTGAAGGAAAATTTTATTAAATCTGGCACCTGTGATCAGGGTTTGCATGGGTATATTGACCTGCGCTTGTAAATCCAAATCCACCACCACTATATGCTGACAATAATCCACACACAATACCAAGTGTATGATTAACAACAGTGCTAAACAACCATAACCCTTACTCGAGCAACTCCAACCCCACCATCTAAATCACCAACTTAAAATGATAATCAACCAAACTCACCACCAACCCAATTATCATCATCTGATTTTTATTATCATCATAAATACAAAGTCACAATACGCTTGAACATATTGGATAATCGTCAGGGTGTTGTCCAATGCAAACCTGCCTATCAAAATCAGGTTTGTTCATTTTATTTATTTTATTTTTATGGAAATGATTTTTAAGGAACTCTACACATGCAAGAAAAGGAGACAAGTAGAAATGTGATCGCTAAAAAATTTTCACAACACCCATGGATGGAATCATCATCCTACATGGAAAATAAGATCAGATCAAAATGTCAAAGGTTTATTTTACAACTTTTCCAAATTTTAGTTCCTTAAATTCATTTCTGCATAGTCTTGGGTAAAGGAAGGTTGTGGGAGAAACTCTTCAGGAATCAATTGACAGAGTTTCGATAGGTTAAACATTAATTGTTTATTTGGGGGTTTTGTCAATCGTCAGAATTTTGACAAGGCATATACTAATTGTTCATTAGGGTTTTGACAGAGTTTTGACAGTCATTAAGAGGTTTCGGCAAGCAACCTTAGTCTCAGGAATGTCAATGTGTAGTTATGATTTAAATAATAATAATAATAATTGACGATCCCTTTGTGAATGGCAACGGAGAAATCCGTGGTTCTATTATTATTATGATATTAATATACTAATATTAATATACTAATTTGATGATATCCCATTCTGATTCATTGTGTCAAATTGGATTTTATCAATCTTTTTTATATTTTTAGTATTTTAGAGCAAATGATCCATGACAGATATATTTATTCAACAATTTATCTTTCCAAATTTGGAATTTCTAAATTAATAATAATAATAATAATAAACAATTTTAAATTAGATTGTTTACCACACACAACACCAAACTGAAGACCAAATAAACATACATACGAATATGCATGCTTAACACTCTTCATCTAAGTAGTTGCTCGCCTAATAAAGCTGTGCCACTTTATTTATTAATAATAAATTTAAAAGGTAGGACAAAGATTGGTCACGGGAAAAGTTTTCATAACATGAAGAAATTATTAAACAATGTATTTTTAAAATATGTTAATATATAAAAAAAAAAAAAAAATCAATAAAATCGTTTATATTCAACGAAATAATATGTCATATTATTATTTATATTATTATATTACTATTACTGTTATTACACGCAAGAAATAGGTTCATTATCCGATTGGAACGAACATTTGACCTGTGCAACCTTACGAGTCTACCAAGGCCACTAAAGAAACACTATTTACTACCCCATATCAATATCGAAATTTGAATAGGTATTGCACTAAAATTTTTAAAATTACATTTATTCTTTTAGTATTCTTTTTTTATCGCAACTTGAGAATATATTTTTAATGTCTCCTATTGTGATTTTTTATTAGGTTACAATCATTCCAATTGTTCTTCAAAATGATTACGAAAGCAGCACTTGCACATTCGTTGATGGTTTGTTTAATCTGACACTTGATGTTTATTTTTTCCTTAATTAATTCATTTTCTCAATATATGATCTTTTTTGACTACGAATTCAAACTGCGATTATAAAATAAACTCCTATCTCTGCGGACAATCTATATGTTTGCAGATGATTATGAAATTACCAAATGTATAATATGATTTTTTTTTTCTGTGGTATCACATGATAACCGTAAACTTGGGTTCAAAATTTTATTATTATTATTATATATTAATATTTATATTAAATAATATAAAATTTTGAAACTCAAAATGATTGGACCTTATACACGCATCATTTGAAAATCATACGATATTAATTCATTTTAATTAGACAACTGTTATTTACGAAAAAAATCCCCAGATGCTAACTAAAATACTAAAATGATCGTGTGTTATTTAATAAAAAACCTGTTTAAAGATAAATTTTGCAGATAAATACCTATTTTGGACATAATTAAATGTAAAATGAGGATACTAAAAAAACTAAAAAAAATCAAATGACACATCCTCTTGGCGCGGTATACAGTTTAAGGGGGGTCTGCGTCCTAACAAATAGGCCCTTAAGAGAAGACGAGAAAATATGAAATGAATTGAAGAGACTTGATGAAAGTGGATGGAAAAATCACTTAAAATTGTTTGATGAAATAGCTCTAGAATCATAAAAAAATCGATGCCATTGAAGAGGATAAAATATTTGTTTATGGTCAATATTAAAGGATCTTGGATATGAAACTAAAATTATAACATCACACTAACTGTTATATGAAAGAAAGAAAAAATGAAACCAAAAAAGAATTTTCCGAGGAAATAAATTATTTAATTGATACAAAAGCTTTTCAATGTCCAGTTTTTGAATGATCAGTTATTTCTGGGGTATATTATTGAGAGGATTATATGATTTCCAAGAACTATGGCCGATCTAAAAAGCAAAAGTTCGTGAATTAGAAGTTTCAAATTTTATTGAAAGAATGTAAAGAAAGATCTTGTAAAAAAAAAAAAAATAATGCAAAAAAGCCAATTAATAAATCATAAATCAAAATAGAAACAATAATAATATAATAATTAAGCCAAATAAGACCTAAAAAGCAGATAGCAGTAGTACAATTGTTCCAATTTGATCCCTGAAATTTTCTTTGTGGCAAGGGAAAAAAATATTTTTTCATTATTATTTAAAAAAATATTAATTAACAAATAATATTAATTAATATTTTTTTAAAAAAAAGAATTCACACTTTTAATGTTATTAAAAATGATTAGACGATTTTTATTATTACTGCTCTTTGCACATTGTCTTTTTGTTGTTCACTGGTGTCATTTTGGTACCATAGCGGCCGATGCAACCATCCTTGTGGTGGTAAGTTCTTTTATTATGAGTAAATAACTGATTTGTTTAAAAAATTCATTAAACAAGGATGAATGAATATTCTTTGTTAAATTTAAATTATTTAGGAAAAATCTGATCAATGATTCTTATTGTTTTTTAATCGTTTGATTAATGATATTTCATTTCATTATTCATCAATTTTTTTATAAAAATAATAAGGCAACAAATGTAACATATCAAGATAGAATGGCTGCTTTTGGTCCACGGTTAACAGAAGAAGGACTTATCGGCAATCTTATTCCAATAGAATCTATTGAGGTTGATAATCAGAAAGGTTGTTTGAAATTAGAAAAAAAAATTGAAACTAAAAATTGGATAGCTCTTGTAGAGCGTGGCCAGTGTTCATTTATTGATAAAATACGTAATATGCAAGCATCCGGTGCTATTGCTGTTGTTGTGGGTGACAATGAGCGCAATAGTTTAATAACAATGTATGCTACAGGTAAATACGTTTTTTATTCTTATTTACTTGCTAGCTTTTTTAAAAAAAATAATAAAAAATAAGATAAAATTAAACAAGAAATATTTTTCATTCTTCATGCTTGAATGAAACTTTTAGGAGATACTTCAGATGTAGAGATTCCATCAGTATTTATTGCACAAAATGAATATAGAGAACTTCGGTTACTTTCTTTATTAGTAAATCGAAATCCTTTAAAGATACAACTTATTAAAGATGATCTTTTACAGTGGTAATAACGAATCAATTGTCATCATTGTTTGAACGATTAATTATCAAATATTAATTTTTTTATATGATTATTTTATTATAGGCCATTATTAGATATAATTATTGTCATAATTTTGTTCCCAACGATTATGATGATATTTATTTATGTTTTATGGCACATTCGTCAACGTCAAAGACGTAAACAAGAAATTGCACCTCAACAAGTTGTTGGTAATTTGCCTACAAAGATTTTCTATTTATCAAAAAGACAAGAAAATGATCCTCAAGAATGTGCTATATGTTTGGAGGATTATGTTGACAAGGATGAATTGAGAATTATGCCTTGCAGACATGAATTTCATGTAATATGTATTGATAGCTGGTTAACCACCAGAAAAAGATTTGTGAGTATTAAATTTTTTATGATAATCCATTATTTCTTTAACCAAGAAGAAATGAATATTAATATTTTTCTTTTCTCCTATTTTTTTTAAAAGTGTCCAATTTGTAAACGTGACATTTGTATACCAACAGAGGAAACTCCTCTATTGTCAAATAATGAACCTTCTCCGTAATTCATGGTCTATTTGTAAACGTGACATTGGATTACCAATAGAAGAAACTCCTTTACTATCAAATAATCCATAATTAATGGTTTTTAACAAATATATACATATATATATATGAAATCAAATATTTATATTTATCTTTATGTACCGATAAATATATTAATTAAACAATATAAATATATTAATTATAATTAAATAATCTAAACAATTTGCTTTTTGATTATTATACTATAAAAACATGTATATACGTTTATATATTGCGTTTAAGAATCTTTTTCTTGACCAATATAAAATTAATCTTTTTCTTATCTTGAAATATATGTTTATTTTGTATAAAAAAAAAAGATTATTTAAAGATTTTCTTTCGAAATAAAGAATTTGTATTTGTAGAAATTTTTTTTGGTGTATTATTATTCATCTGCATTCAGCCCATTGATTTTCTTTGCGTATTTGATCTTCTTCTTCCTGTGTAAAATCATTCTGTATATTGAACATAGATCTTATTTCCTCGGGTGACTTCTCTCTAATCATATTTGCAATATTTTTACACGAAATATCCCTAATATTCATTAATTAATAATATTATTCACACACGTATCAATACATATATATAAATACTGAAATACACATATAAATATTATATTTACAATAATGGTTTTATATCCAAATAATTCGCTGCCTAGAAAAACCAAAAACAGAATTAATGATAAAAAATCTTTTTAAAAGATAATTAATATCATTTACCAAGATAATCTCAAAAAGCATATCATGCTCCAAATCCAAATATTTTTGATCCCAATCATCAATCTCAATAAGTTTCTTATGAGCATCATCATGGTCATCGAATAAATGTGAATCTTTTGCATGATATTCACACCATTCAAGCACCTAAATAAATATTTATTTATTTTTAAATACTTTTTTTTTTAAAAAAATAATAAATGTTTTAAATATAAACAAATGTATGTACTTACTTTTCTTAACACTGTTTCTTTAACATTAGGAAGAGGAATTACTTGATCAGTGTCTCCAATGTCTAATTATCGAGTAATATTAATAAGACTAGGAAAAGCCATTCATATAATAATGTTATAACAACATTAGTACCTTCAATCATATTTTTGAGCAAGACGGAACGACTAGCAGTTAACACATTAACTGTGAACTCTACCTCATCGTTGCTTTTCAACGTAACCTTTTGAGTTTCCATTATTTTATCAATAGTAACTGAGGCCATTATATTTATTTTTATATAGGAATTTACTAATAATTTATATTGTTTAAAAATTTAAAAATTGAATTGTGAAAAATAATTCTGCATCATTTTTATATGATTGTCAAAGATGTTACACGAATTGCCTTAATTGTAAATTTTTATTTAGGTAACGCAAATAATCCTTGGAATAGAATTTCCGCTTGTTGATTGATTCGGACCATGACTTACTGTTACTTCCTTTTCCGCGTGACTGGGAATTTATAGATTTTTCCTGATCCAGATTTTTTTTATCTGTATCAGGGTTACTTACCTACTACCACTATTGGGATATTCACACTTGAAATTTTTTATTCCTAAATTTCTTTTGCCATGAATTTTTCTAATCTGATACACTTGCTGCTATCTTTTCCAAAATTTATCAACTTTATTTTGGAGTTTGTGTTCTTTCAGGTAATTCCACAATTAGTTTGTTGTATGTAACACCACTTGGAAGGTTATTTTTGTATAAATAAAGCATCAAAGCTATACATGAAGTCGAAATTAAAACCCCTAAGTCAAAATGTTTCGATTTGAGACAACTACATAGTAAAAATCAGTTTTGACCTTATTTTGACCCTATTTTGTCCAGATCTGCAAATGGTTGAAATAGTTTTGACTTCATGTATAATCAAAGCATGATCATTTGATGCATCCTCTACATATGTCCATAATTCAAGCAGTGGGTATAACCTAATAACATAACATAATTATGTTATGTTATTAGGTTATACCCACTTGATCTAGGTTATACCCACTGCAAAGTACAATGGGTTTGCATTTGCGTCGTACTTCGAAGTACGATTGGTTTGTGTTTGCGTCGTACTTTTCGTAAAAAGACGTAGGTTATGCCCCCCGACTTGCGCCTTTAGTTATGCCCTGTTTTGATTTTGATTCGTAATTTTAAACACTTGTCTGGATTTTTTATTTTTTCCCGTAATTTTAAACCACTGCGTCGACTTCGGTTCCCGCTTTGGGTCCCGATTTGAATTACGATTGGTTTATGAATTCGTCGTAATTTTTAGTGATCGTTATTGACGTCCATAACGATGGACTTTTGGTGGCCCATCAAAGCATAATTTCCAATTTGGATTTTTCTATATTATTGTAAGAGACGTCAAAAATTTAGATTCAAAATAGAAAAAAAAACACGTGCGCGTTATATACAAATTGTAATGCCGATCTCCAAAGATTCTAATTCGTGGTATCAGAATAAAATACTACTAAAGAAACTAATTGTATGATTTTTGAGTCTGTTCTAATTTCGTAATTCTAGCGTCATTCCTCTCTGCACATTGATAACTCATATTTTAGGTGCGAAATTTTATCAAGATTATTAAGATGCTTATTTTCTAACTCTTTAACCCCAGCATGAAGTTCGGCAATAATATTAATGAGTGCTTCCCTTTCCTTTAAAAAGGAAGCAATATCGGAATCAAATTTCAAGTTTAATTCTTTAACCAGCCTCGATTGATTCTTATGTGGAAACATTATTATATATTTTTTCTGGCGAGTAGTTAGTTAATACCTTCTTTATAAATGTTTAATATGGTTATGATTATCATAAATTCAATTTTAACCTAATACTAAGATACGCCTTTATTCTAAGATAAATAGAAAAATTATTTGTTCATCAGGGTCGTATTCTTTAATGGGAGGGATTTAAAAAATGCGCTATTTTTTTTTTACTTGTCATTGAAAATCTTTGGTGGCATATCATCTTTGATGACATCTTTGGTGACACACTCTCTATCGGAATTCTAAATTTTAAGTTGTTTTATTATCTTCTTTATATCCGTCACCAAAGACACTAAAAATAAAGAAGATAATATAGGAAAAAAAAACGAAACTCTTATCTATGGTATATGTATACATATATAGTATATGATAAATGGTATATGGTATACCTAATAAAAAAAAAAAATAAAAAGTTGAAAGTGGCGAAAATTTTTTGGTGCCTTTGGTGATATAACATCTAGAAACGTTCTGAGGGTTTGAAACTCTGAATTTCGATAGAAAAGGTATCTCTAAAAATTTTGTAAATCCGCCACCAAAGATTTTTGGTGACATTTTTTTAGCGGCGATTTTTTTACAAGTGGCGGATTTCTATAGATGTTCGAAAATATAGTCTACTCAGGGGTCTTTTACCTCAGGCATACTCTCAGCTAGCTTTTTTTGCTTTTTCCGATGATAATATGCTTTAGAATGACATTTTTTCACATGTAAACTACATAACTTATAATCAGAAGCATTTGGCTTACCACACTCTTTACAAGGAACACGTTGGCGTCTCTTACAATGAATGGCACAACCTTTTTGTCGATAGCAAGACCTATTGCAAATTGTTTTATCGTTAGTGATATACTGACAAAGATAATCCCCAGTCATCTAAAATGCTTTATAAAAGTGAATCGAACTCAAAATACTAATTAGTATAGTATTATTAGGTAATAATATTAAATATTTAATTTTTATTTAAACATTTTTAATAGGTTAATATAATAAAATCGTAAAATACCCTTTCATAATATGGAAACCCAAAATAACAGCACAGAAAACCCAGAAAACGAAACCAACAGCGCCTTCTATCACCGTGGACACAATGCCGAAAGTGTATCCGAATATTCATATAAAATTCGTGATGATACCGTAAATCCAAGGGAATTTCTAGGAACGGATAATGAAACTACGACTACTATTAATGATAACTCTGAATTAAAAAAAGTCTCTACACTGAATATTATAAATAAGACAAAAGAAACAAGTATGTGATATTGAAGCTTGTGGCAACTTGTAGATAAAAAATAATTAATGAAAATTCTGACATTTTATAGCCAAAAAAGATTTAAATGAACTAGATGATAATACTTT